AGAAAGTTTTTTAAATTTCAAATTCTTTGTTACTGACTGAATTTTCCTGGAGTTGCATGATAAATCGGAGAATTCCAGATGCACTCTCCGAGTAAACAAAAATCATGACATACCCCAAGACTCAGCTTCAGTGGTACGAGTAAATTCATTAAATACGAATGAATCAGAGATGACAAAAAAAAAATTGAAAAAAAAAAAGCGCAGGCGCATGCGACACTCACGGTGGACATCGGATGCGAGTAGGTTGTGGTGTTGGAGTGTGGGCGTGCTAGGGAGGACCTGCAAGATAACCTGAGGCGGCGGCGGTGCTCCGGGCGATGGTACTAGTATACGTGGTTTGCCCGGAGACACCGATTCACTCGCCTCATGTGTCCTATCGTACGACGATTTAAAACCATTAGAATATCTTCGATGCTGGCTATCACCAATTCCAATTGTACCATTCCCTCCTGATCCAGCTGCCACTGTTGCTGATAGAGTTGTCGGTGTTGTCAGGGTTGTGGCACCTGTGCCTGGTCCCGATGCGTTGCCCATTTGGGTTGTCGATGTGTCACCTTTGTTGTCCACCACCACTTGAGAGGGATCTGATGATTTGTCCTGATTGTTTGCCACTACAAACGCTGAATTCTCCTCTTTTGTAATACTCATGTAGTAGCATGTGTCCGTTTTCTTCATTATGTGACGAGGACCTGAGAATTATTCACTTTTAATATCTACTTTTCTACCTACTGAGGAATCAATACGTGTGACATTAAATAAATAAATAGATTTAGTCTGTTTATTTATCTATTTTATTCAGATTATCATAGCAATTATTTTAATCAATTTAGACGATTAGTTTTACTTTTATTTGAATTTGTTTATTTGAATTGATCATATTATAATTATAATAATTATCATTATAATTATAACAATAAAAATGATTGTTGTAGAGTACTTGAGGGAATTGGCTGTAGCATAAAATAATAGCTGCAGGAGAATAATTTCCACGTTTTTACAACCGAACTTTAACTCAGCCCCGATTTAATTTAATTATTCGCATAAATCGTTCATTACCTGGATTAAGTAGAATAGTATCTTCATAAAACTCTGGTAATTCTGCTGGTCTGACAGCGACAAGAGCAACTCCATATTTCCGATGAGAGTGAAATGACGCGTAAGTAAACGATTTTCCCTCGTACTCCCCGAAAAATCTCGAGTCACCCAGAGTGATGTGATATATTTCATTGCCAGAACACTTGCCATAAAGCCGGTGCCATTCCTCCTGCGATTGTTGTCCCTCCCTGACATTTTCAAGAAAATAACCGACAATTAGGGTGAATGCTAAATTATTAAACATCTCGACTCGTGAATTTCGGAGTGGTATAAGAATACTAACTGTCCCCGTGATGTATGCAGGAGTAACGTAACTAGGGTTGAAGCACCAGGACAAGTACAATTGTTAGCCAAAAGTGCATATTTGAACTCATCCTCGCACACGACGTGCTCAGCAAATTTAACGTGAAGTTTGTTCTCAGGACGGAAAATCTGTACGTACTGAGGTACATTTGGAGCAAAATCCTTTACAGCCCATGATCTAAAATTTTTATTCATTGTAAACTCTGATCATCTTTTTTTATAAATTACAACATTTGATTTCTGATTGATTGATTAATGTTTATTACTGTGGATTAAATTGTACAAAAAGGAAGATGATGAATCCATCATGATGAAATTCACAGGATATTTAGAACCTTAACTTCTAAATGGAGCTCTAATGTTTAAAAACAATGTTGACAGTTCAATGATGAGAGAAATGAAAGCATCGGACGGACCTGAGGATTGTATGCTCATCAGCGGCAGTTTTATCAGCATAATT